TTTATGTTTGTTATTGTTATTTCACTATCTTTCATTAAGCTATATTACTTTTTAAGAATATATGAGGGTTTTAGTTTTTTGGTACAAATGATTACAAAAGTGTTTTAAGATTTAAAGTATTTTATTTCCTTTTTCTTGATTTTTATCATTCAATTTGGATTGATATTTACAGTCTTGTTCAGAGCAGCTCCAGTTGAAGAATATGAAGGAGTTGATGCTTTTGGCTACTATCTTATGATATTTAGAATAGCTGCAGGAGACTTTGCTACTGACAACTACAAAGATTAATCATAGTTTTTAGTCATTATCACCTGGATTGTATGGATAATTGCAGTGATTGCTCTAAATATTATATTCATGAATTTCATTGTCGCAGTAATATCAGAATCATACGAGAAAGTCATGTAGAAAATAGTTGCTGAAACTTTCAAAGTGAAAGTCCATATGATAAGAGAAAGAGAATTATTTTTAACTCAAAAGTAATTAGCCAATGCTGATTACTTTCCTTAATACCTAGTGTTAAGAAGGCAAGTTAGCTCAGAAAGCTAAGAAAACGGTAAGATAATGTGCTATGATTAATATAGGAGAATGGCAGGGCTTCATTAAGGATATCAAAAACACTATTAAGACTACAGCTACTCGAGCTAAGAATGAAACTTTGTAGAATCTAAGCCTAATCTAGAGTACTAATTAAATATTGATGGAATAATTAAAACATGACACTAATAAACAATTTTATGAGATGAGAGCAGAATTCAAAAAGGATGTAAATGAAATTTAAGACACATTGAAGCAAAGAATGGATGGATTAGAGCTGTTAGTTAAGGACAGTTTGAGCAAGTTACTTGAAAATGCAAGCAAATAATAATAGTGATTAAATAGGTAATCAGGCACAAATATAAGTCGTGAATATCTTTAAAATTTAAACACATTACTGATTGTCTTAATTAATTTATCATATTTTTCTCTATTAAATATTTTATCTTTTTGGGGTTTTGGGGTTTTGGGG